GCATTTTCTTGATGGCTCTCCCATGGCTTTACAAGGGTCCAACATTTTCTTTCCTCTTGCTTTCTTCCGTCTTGGGGGCCTTCCAGGAGATGTATGAAGCTCCAGCGAAAGAACACTTTAATTTTCTCCAACTAAAGCACTGGATTGGCGACCTTCGCCGCACATCCACCTACCCATTTCCAAAGACCCGCTTTATAGCATATATCAGCATCCCCCAGGAACCTCTGGCCTCATTTTGGCTATCTATGCTTCTTTCAATGGCTGCCCGTCATCGGCATCCCTTTCTAATATGTCCCAATAGGAGTGGGATCTCCAAGCACCCATAGATTTGGAGGATTGGAGTAAGGCATAGAAAATGGTCGCCAAATGTTCTTCTAATACCAGCACACTTAAGGCTGCGTACAAGGTCCTCCTGAGATAGTACTGGGTTTCTGCTCAGGTCCCTCATGCTTATCCCAAGTGTAATGACAGATGCTTTTGAAACTGTGGCCAACGGGGGGGGGGGGGGGTGTCCTGCCCATCGAGTGGTCCTGCCCAAGATTGGTAGGGTTCTGGTCAAGGATTTCTCCACCTTATTCCACCTAACAGTCCGTAAAGATGCTAAGCTGGCCCTGCTGCATGTCCTATATATGGTTTATATGTGCACCAGCAGAAACTGGCTACTTACCTCTTTATTTCAGCCAAACAGACCATAGCCCGGGCCTGGAACACCCCATGTGTTGCCTTCCAAGGGGTGAGGATGAGCATGACCTCTTTGATGCTTAAACAGCAAATGTCCGGTATCCTGAAAGATTCACATTCCAAATTTCTTAATATATGGGAGCCTTGAATTTCTTATGAACCTCTCACATTTCAAATGGCCTGTTCTGACCAATTTTGATTGCTACCACCGAGGCTTCCGAGTCTGAAATGTTCTCTTCTCCCTCTCCTCCCCTTTTCTCCTGTCAAAACTTTCCTTTCTGGTCTCTCTCTTTATCATGTGTAGAGACCTGATCCCTTGGTGTTGGCTCCCTCTGGGACACCACACCCGAGGGGATCATACTGTTATTTTGTATTTGCAGTCCTTTCCCCTGTGTATCAATGCTTATTGATATCTGCTATGATTATGGTCTTCACTCGTTTTCTCGTTATACCTGATCATTGTTTAGGGGTTTATTATTATTACATCATGAACAGAAAATGCCACAATTGTAATTCTGTAATAGTACATTCACACTGGTGTCTAATTGCTGTATTTTGAAATACAAAAGTGATAGGTAGATGTGGTAAAATACAGGGTATATTCATATATTTGTCTTGCATTTCAGGATAGGCGCATTCATGGGATAGAAACACAATTTTTTTTTTTTTTTTTGTGCTGCATTTTCAGATGTGAGAATTGTTGGATTGAATTATTAGCTTTCTGTTCATTTTAGTATGGATATGACAACTGTCATCTGCCTTGCCCTGGATGTGACTGTAGTGACTTTTCACCATGAAAATGCCTCAGTAAGCTTAAGGTTTGCATAGCTTAACAACTCGTTTAACCAGCTACTGTATATATTCTAAAACGTTTACATGGTTAAAAGAGAGACTTGTTTCAATAGACAATGGAATATCTGCAATTCTAGCCATATATTAAACTTTCTGTGATAAAACAAAATGCCTAAAGCTATAGATGTTTGGATATACAGTGTGGAAGAATGTGTTTTGTTTTGTTTTGTAATGCACCTAGTTATGTGTTAATTTTTCCACTTATTTATTTATGCCTTTTTGCTCTGGACAGAAAGGAATGGACAGGACAGGGATGTTGAATTCCTATGGCCGGACGCCTGGGACATGCAGCGAGCGCCGGGCAAGAAGCTATTTTTTTACATTTGGCCCTACTGCGAGCAAGCAGCAGGGTTTATAGCCACTCTCCCATGTGCTGTCCCTATCGACTAGCCAGCGCTTCCACTGGCTGATAATGGAGGCAGCAGTGGTGGACAGATCAGTACCTTCTCCCCTAGCAGAGATCAGGCTGCTCCCCAGTGTTCTACTCCTCTCCGACCCTGAGGTGGAGCCTGCTGCCAGGCTTGCAGTGATTGTGCTGATTTAGGAGAAGGCTGTAGGATTGGTATGTATGTATGTGTGCTGTGTAGTGACTGAGTGATCAGGAAGCACATGGTAACACTTTAATTGCTAGAAGATAGTGAGTGGATATGGTTAACCCTTTTATTGCCAGCAGATGAGATCCCAGTTGGAAGTGTATGATTAACCATTTCATTGATAGCAGATCCTTGGTGGAAATATACATTTGTATTCTGGATCGGTTAGCATTGAAATGGTTAATCATATGCTTCCAACACATCTGAAAGGGTTAATCATGCTTTCCCAACTGGGATCTCATCTGTCAGCAATAAAAGGGTTAACCTTGTCTAGTCACCAGGAATCTTCTAGCAATTAAATTTTCTTTACTAGTAGACCCTGGTGACTGTACACGATTAAACAAGCGGTGGAACTTCCAGGGTCTCAAAGGTCACACTAGTGCCCAGGCGTTTCTCCACCATGGGAGGGCCCCAGGACTCCTTTGTAAATCTAAAGCGGTAACCTGTGAAGGCTTTTCGATAGTAGACTATGGATAATAAAATTTACGTTTTTTGCCGTTGCACGGGCAGGCACATTTTTAAAGCGTGACATGGTTGGTATATATTTTACTCGGCCTAACAACATCTTTAATAGAAAATTTGGATTACATGTTGTGTGGTTTTTTGTTTTTTTTTTTGTTATTTTTTTTGCTTTCAAGTTACAAAGTGTATTTTTATTTTTTTTTTTATTTGATTGAAAAAACCGCTACGCAAATACCATGTGACATAAAAGATGTCAACCCTCACTAATTTATTCTCTAGGGCCTCAGCTTTAAAAATATATATAATGTTTGGGGATTCTAAGAAATTTTCTAGAAATGAAAGTAAATTGGGACCCTGATTTTAGTCCTTGAACAAGTAGTTTTTTTTTAAAAAAAAACTTTCCACACCCCTGCAGGACCAAAAATGTTTTCAAGTTCCAACCCCTCGTTACACTACTGTATTTTTGTCTTTGTTCCCTAATTGGAAAGATTTTTCATTATTTTATGTCTTGAGAGGAAGTGAAAAAATCTCTCTAATGGGATGCAAATGGAAAAAAGAAATCACAAGAGGCTCTAATCCTTTTTTCACAGTATTCAAAATGAAATAAAATTTGGCTAGAGTTCTACTTTAAAGTGATTTGTAAAGGTGTTTTTTTTTTTTTTTTTTTTTAAATGTAGCGCTTTCTAGGTACATAGGGTTTGTTGTTTTGTTAGATGCTGGATAGCAGCCTGGGATGAGTTAGCCTGGGATAAGGTATAGAGTTCACCTCAGGAAAGGGTGAGAGGCTCTACAGATGAGGGCTTCTGGAGCTCTCCCACCCTTCCAGAAACTGTAAGAACTTTTCTGGAAGAGGGGAGGAGGCTCAGATTTGCATGTTTAGGGGAACTTGGCCAATCTCCAGGCAGGAGGCTGGACATGGTGGTTAAGGGTAACCCTTAAATATGGCAGAGCCTGTGTAGCAGGGGAGTTGTTGCTGAAGTTGGGTGGAAGATGGACTGAGAGGAGGCTGGAGTGTGGAGCCTGGGAGGGGAGCCTACCTACAGGCAGGATACTGGAAAGAAGGATCTCCACTACCCAAAGTCTCCTTGACATCTGGTGCAGTGGGGATGTGGCCAACCCAGCATAAGGCCTGAAAGCAGCTACTAACCCATCAAGATGACCAGACAGTTTGAGTACCTCTACACCCTCAGGGCCAGACAAAGGGAGAGGGCATTCAGGTGCATACCCAACTGCACTGTGTGCACTATTATAAGGCAAGTGAGTATTTTGACCAAATCATCTTTTTTTTATGCATATTGTCCAACTCCAAGCTGTATAAACTTGCATGCTTATTGGATTTAAGCATATCAGGTGATGTGTATTTGTGTAATGAGGCAGGATGTGGCCTAAGGAGATCAGCACCTTATATAAAGGTGTTGCACAATTATTAGGCGGTTGCTTTTCCTCAGGAAAAAATGAGCCAAAAAAGACTTAACTGACTCTGAAAAGTCAAAAATTGGAAAGTGTCTTTCAGAGGGATTCAGCGCTCTTGAAATTGCTAAGATATTGGAGCATGTTCACAGAAGCATCAAACATTTTTGATGTTTTGAAGGTCGCAAGAAATGTGTTTTGAGAAGAGATGTAAAATTAACTGCCAAAGATTTAAGAAGAACCAAACATGAAAGTACCAGGAACCCATTATCCTCCAGTGCTGTCACATTCCAGAACTGCAACCTACCTGGAGTACCCAGAAGTACAAGCTGTTCAGTGCTCAGACATGGCCAAGGTAAGGAAGGCTGAAACCCGACCACCACTGAACAAGAAACAAGTTGAAACGTCAAGACTGGGCCAAGAAATATCTGAAGACAGATTTTTCAAAAGTTTAATGGACTGATGATATGAGAGTGACTCTTGATGGACCAGATGGATCGGCCTGTGGCTGGATCAGTAATGGGCACAGAGCTCCACTTTGACTCAGACGCCAGCAAGGTGGAGGTGGGATACTGGTATGGACTGGTATTATTAAAGATGAACTAGTTCACAAACCTACTGCCAATTTTTGGAAGACCCTTTCTTCAAGCAGTGGTACAGGAATAAGTCTGCATCTTTCAAGAAGTCCATGATTTTATGCAGGACATTGCTCCCATCAAATTCATCAAAGTACTCCACTGTGTGGCTAGCCAGTAAAGACCTTCAAGATGAAAGGGTGACATGACCTTCTTCCTCACCTTACCTAAACCTTGAGAACTTGTGGGACCTTCTTAACTACTTGCCGACCGCAGATAGCCGAATGACGGCTGCACTGCGGCCGGCCAGTTCTGGGTGGGCGTCATATGATGTCCACCCAGAACGCGCTCTCCTGCGCACCCGACGATCTCCATGATCGCTGTGTTCTATGGACACGGCTGATCACGTGATGTGGTAAAAGGCCAATCACAGCGGCCTTTTACCACGTGATCAGCGGTGTCCAATGACACGCTGATCACCGGGAAATGCAATTGCCGGTTCTCGGCTGCACTTTCCTCACGCCGTCAGATTGTGGTCAAAGTACTGCAGAGAACCGGCAGTTGTTAGAGCAGGGATCGGCACCGATCATCAGGGCACTGCTGATCAGTGCCCTGATGATCGTACCCAGCAGTGCCACCCACAAGTTCCGCCCACCTGTGCCCAACACTGCACCCACTAGCTCTGCCCACCTGTGCCCAGCAGTGCGCCCACTAGCTCCGCCCACCTGTGCCACCCAGCAGTGCGCCCACCTGTGCCACCCAGCAGTGCACCCACCTGTGCCCAGCAGTGCAGCCCAGCAGTGCTGCCAGTCAGTGGCACCAGTCAGTGTCCAGCGGTTGTGCCAGTCAGTGCCCAGCAGTGCCTCCAGTCAGTGCCACCTATTAGTGCTGTCTGTCAGTGCTGCCTCATCAACGCACATCAATGAACGAGAAAAATTACCTGTTTGAAAAATTTTATAATAGAAACAAACTTTTTTTTTTTTTTTCAACTTTTTTGCTATTTTTTTGTTTATAGCGCAAAACGTAAAGCGCCCAGCGGCGATTAAATACCACCAAAAGAAAGCTCTATTTGTGAGAAAAAAAGATAAAAATTTCATATGGGTACAATCTTGCATGACCGCGCAATTATCAATCAAAGTGCGACAGCGCTGAAAGCTGAAAATTGGCCTGGTAAAGAAGGGGGTATAAGTGCCCTGTAGGCAAGTGGTTAAACAGGAGATTTACAGTGAAGGAAAACAATACACCTCTCTGAACAGTGTCTGGGAGGCTGTGGTTGCTGCTTCAGAAAAAGTTGATCTTCAACAGATCAAGAAACTGACAGACTCCATGAATGGAATGCTAATAACTGTTTTTGAAAAGAAGGGGGGCTATATTGGTCATATATATATATATATATATATATATATATATATATATATATATATATATATATATATAATTAGTGGGTGTGTGAAACTCGAAAAATTAGAATATCGTGCAAAAGTTCATTTATTTCAGTAATGCAACTTAAAAGGTGAAACTAATATATGAGATAGACTCATTACATGCAAAGCAAGATAGTTCAAGCCGTGATTTGTCATAATTGTGATGATTATGGCTTACAGCTCATGAAAACCCCAAATCCACAATCTCAGAAAATTAGAATATTACATGCAATCAATAAAACAAGGATTGTACATAGAACAATATCAGACCTCTGAAAAGTATAAGCATGCATATGTACTCAGTACTTGGTTTGGGCCCCTTTTGCAGCAATTAGTGCCTCAATGCGGTGTGGCATGGAAGCTATCAGCCTGTGGCACTGCTGAGGTGTTATGGAAGACCAGGATGCTTCAATAGCGGCCTTCAGCTCTTCTGCATTGTTCGGTCTCTCATGTCTCTCATCTTTCTCTTGGCAATGCCCCATAGATTCTCTATGGGGTTCAAGTCAGGCGGGTTTGCTGGCCAATCAAGCACAGTAATCCCACGGTCATTGAACCAGGTTTTGGTGCTTTTGGCAGTGTGGGCAGGTGCCAAGTCCTGCTGGAAAATGAAGTCAGCATCCCCATAAAGCTTGTCTGCAGAAGGAAGCATGAAGTGCTCCAAAATCTCCTGGTAGACGGCTGCGTTGATCCTGGACTTAATGAAGCACAGTGGACCAACACCAGCAGATGACATGGCTCCCCAAATCAACATAGACTGTGGAAACTTCACGCTGGACTTCAATCATCTTGCAGTGTGTGCCTCTCCATTCTTCCTCCATACTCTGGGTCATTGGTTTCCAAATGAGATGCAAAAGTTGCTCTCATCAGAAAAGAGGACTTTGGACCACTGAGCAACAGACCAGGTCTGTTTTTCTTTAGCCCAGGTAAAACGCTTCTGACGTTTGTTGTTCAGGAGAGGCTTGACAAGAGGAATATGACATTTGAAGCCCATGTCCAGGATCCGTCTGTGTGTGGTGGCTCTTGATGCACTGACTCCAGCCTCAATCCACTCTGTGACAGTCCCCAACACTTTTGAATGGCCTTTTCCTGACAATCCTCTCTAGGTTGCGGTCATCCCTGCTGCTTGTGCACCTTTTTTCTTCCACACTTTTCCCTTCCACATAACTTTCTATTAATGTGCTTAGATACAGCACTTTGGGAACATCCAACTTCTTTTGCAATTACCTTTTGAGGCTTTCCCTCCTTATGGAGGGTGTCAATGATGGTTTTCTGCACAACTGTCAGGTGAGCAGTCTTTCCCATGATTGTGATTCCTACTGAACTAGACAGAGACCATTTAAAGGCTCAGGAACCCTTTGCAGGTGTTATGGCTTAATTAGCTGATTAGAGTGGGACACTTTGAGCCGAGAATATTGCACCTTTTCACAATATTCTAACTTTCTGAGATTGTGGATTTGGGGTTTTCATGAGCTGTAATCCATAATCATCACAATTATGACAAATCACGGCTTGAACTATCTTGCTTTGCATGTAATGAGTCTATCTCATATATTAGTTTCACCTTTAAGTTGCATTACTGAAATAAATGAACTTTTGCACGATATTCTAATTTTTCAAATTTCACCTGTGTATATAATTTTTTATTTTTTATTTTTTTTTTAAATGTCAGAAATGTGTTTTGTACATTTTTGAGTTGTTTATTATTCTCACTTTTAACAGATGAAGAAAAACCAAGTGAGATGGGAAAATTGTTTATTTAGTTGCATAATACTTCTGCACACTAATAGTTGCCCAATAATTGTGCGCACATAGATATTCTTCTAAGAAAGCCAAAACCTCACTTTTACTTTCTTAAATATTCAGGTTTATTAACATTTTGGATTGACCCAGATCACTGTAGTTATTCAATAATTAAATTAATCCTCAAAAATACAACTTGCCTAATAATTGTGCACACATCCAGGATTACTTAATTGTTAGCTCTTGGGATATCTTGCCCAGGGATACTCTCAGTTTAGCCGACTGAAGAGAAAGGACTCATCTGGGATCTGAGGAGGTACATCAAGGGGACTTTGTTCCTTTTTAACACCTTCCCGCCTGGCCTATAGCAGATTGCCTGCCAGGCGGGACACTCCTTGTTGTGACTGGGCATCATATGACATCGTGTCAGAAGGAGCCGCTCACGCAGGGGTCGTGGGGCCACACAGTGGTTGCGATTTGTCACCGGCTGTGTCCATGGCACACAACTGATGACCTATCACTACACCGGCCTGTTGCCAGTGTCATGTGACCTCTGTGACCAATCACAGTAGATCACGTCAATTGTATACAATGGATGGCTTCCTGTCATGCCATCCATTGTATACAAATATGTTAGCTGTGACTGGTCAAAGCAGTCACATGATACAGATAGGGCCAATCACAGACCATCTGTATCATGTGATGAGCTTTGCCTAATCAAAACAAAAGACTAAATCAGTTTCATTCAGTAACAATGATTGCAAATATCAATAAAATACTTGGTTATTAGCTCTCATACTGTGTTTAAAAAAAAAATCCTGATCACTTGCCCAGAGTAGTTCTGTTACTATGGTAACAACATTGTATTGCTTTGGTCACAGTGTGTTGAAAAAATAATGTAATAGAAAAGTTAGAAAAAAAAAATATTTAATTTTTTTTTTACATATGGTCACCAGTCAGTGTCTCTGATCACTGCCACACCAATTATATAATAACGCTGTACTGGACTGTTGACAATATGTAAATTAACTAGTAGCCGACCGCAGATAGCCGAATGACGGCTGCACTGCAGCCGGCCAGTTCTGAGTGGACGTCATATGACGTCCTCCCAGAACGCGCTTTCCTGCGTGCCCCAGTGGGCGCGCACCCGTCGATCTCCGTGATCGCTGTGTCCTACGGACAGCTGATCACGTGATGTGGTAAAAGGCCAATCACAGCGGCCTTTTACCATGTGACCCAATGACATGCTGATCACAGGGAAATGCAAGTGCCGGTTCTCGGCTGCACTTTCCTCACGCTGTCAGATCGTGAGGAAAGTACTGCCGAGAACCGGCAGTTGTCGGAGCGGGGATCGGCACCGATCATCGGGGCACTGATGATCGGTGCCCAGATGATCGGTGCCCAGCAGTGCCACCCGCAAGTTCCGCCCACCTGTGCCCAGCAGTGCGCCCACTAGCTCCGCCCACCTGTGCCCAGCAGTGCACCCACCTGTGCCACTCTGCAGTGTCACACACCTGTGCCCAGAAGTGCCACCCACCTGTGCCACCCACCTGTGCTGCCAGTCAGTGCCCAGGGGTTGTGCCAGTCAGTGCCCAGCAGTGTTGCCAGTCAGTGTCGTCTATCAGTACCCATCATCAGTGCCGCCTATCCGTGCCACCTCATTAGTGCCGCCTATCCGTGCCACCTCATTAGTGCTGCCTATCGGTGCCCTTTAGTGCTGCCTATCAGTGCCGCCTATCAGTGCTATCAGTGCTGCCTCATCAACGCACATCAGTGAAGGAGAAAAAATACCTGTTTGAAAAATTTTATAATAGAAACAAAGAAACTTTTTTTTTTTTTTTTTCAAATTTTTTGCACATTTTTTATTTATAGCGCAAAAAGTAAAGTGCCCAGTGGCGATTAAATACCACCAAAAGAAAGCTCTATTTGTGAGAAAAAAATGATCAAAATTTCATATGGGTACAATGTTGCATGACCGCGCAATTGTCAATCAAAGTGCGGCAGCGCTGAAAGCTGAAAATTGGCCTGGTAAATAAGGGGGTATAAGTGCCTGGTAGGCAAGTGGTTAAAAAAAATTTTTTTTTTAATTTTTATACTTTTTCCAAAAAATTGTAACAAATTACAACCTCCAAAAATCTCACCATGCCTCTTACTAAATACCTTGAACTGTCTATTTTCCAAAAATGGGTGATGTTTGGGGGTATTTGTACTATTCTGGCATTTCCGGGCCTCAAGAAATGAGATGGGCCGTCAGTACATCAGGATTGATTGATTGAATTTCCCCCCCCCCCCCCCCCCCCCCAAATGTCTCAGGTTTTTTTTGTTTTAGCAAACAATAAAAAAAACTCAGTGGTGATTAAATACCACCAAAAGAAAGCTCTATTTGTGTGAAAATAAATGATAAAAATTTCATATGGGTACAATGTTGCATGATTGCACAATTGTCATTCAAAGTGCGACCGCGCTGAAAATTGGCCTGGGCAGGAAGGGGGTAAAAGTGTCCGGTATTGAAGTGGTTGAAAAGACAGTGCTATTTTCCTGATCCACATTCTTGTACAGTATACAGTTTGCTGAGAAGTTTTTTTCCTCAAGTTTGCAGTTCCATGGGCCCATAGACCCCATCCAAGTTGTTGACCCCTCAATAAAAACAACTAAAACAC